CAAAGACCCATAAACCAACAAAGTACTAATTCAATCCTACCAACTGCCATAACCCTCAGGAAAATAAAACGATTGATGTTTCTCAAGGTGCGAACTCAGGAAGGCTTGTTGAAATCTGGTTTTTTAGTCCCACTCCAAACTTACTGCACAGAAATGCTGAGGCAGCCTTCAGGAATGCTTCCCTTTGCAAGTTTGCAGGCGTTCTCTGCCTGCTGAGGTTAGAACCCCCAGGTAAACCTTGCGCGAGCCTTACGGAGTGGAACTGGGGGGCCCGAGCGCCAGAGGGCGCCACGCTCTCCGGGCCCGCGCGGCTCACTGCCGGAAGGGCGCTCTGTCTGCCGCTGCGCAGCGCTCGATCGCTCCTTTCCACTTCCGGTGTTCCCTACGGTCATGGCCGCTGCGCCCGCTGCAGCCGGTGCCGGGGAGCCCATGTCCCCAGACGAGTTGCTCCCGAAAGGGGACGCGGAGAAGACCGAGGAAGAGCTGGAAGAGGACGACGATGACGAGGTGCCCGGGCCCCGCGGGGCGCCGGGGTGCGGGGTGGAGCGGCTGTCCCGGGGGGCGGGCTCCGCGTGCTGTGGCTCTGGACGGAGGCGGTTTCTCCCGGAGGCGAGGTTAGGGACCCAGCTGGGCCCCGGGTGCCCTAGCCCAGGGGGGTTCGGCGTCTCCTGGGTCCGCAGCGGGGCTGGGAGTACCTCCCGCTGCCTTAGCCGAGACCCGCGCCTTCTCTCCCGCAGCTAGACGAGACCTTGTCAGAGAGACTGTGGGGTCTGACGGAGATGTTCCCCGAGAGGGTCCGGTCCGCGGCCGGAGCCACTTTCGATCTCTCCCTCTTTGTGGCTCAAAAAATGTACAGGTACGTGGCAAGGGCAAAGACATTGGTGATGCACAGGGGGTGGCTGGTGCGGTGAAAGAACACAGGCTTTGGAAGCAACAGCCTTGGGTTCGAGTGACCTTGGATTGATTGCGCCCTAACCTTTCTGAGTCTCAGTATCTTTTTCTGTGAAGTGGGGATTCTTACTTAGCAAGGTCGCTATAGTTTCAGGTTGTTAATGTCTGAGCAGCTTAATAAAAGCCCAGGAGAATGTTAAACTACTGTCACTGGACAGTACGGCTCCCAGAACTGCAGCACCTGTCTCTTGAAGGAGTGTGGTGCAAAGAGGAAGTACAGTAACTTACAAGAACATTGGGGCGCTAGGGGAGACTGTTGGCCAGACTGCCTGTTTCTGTGTATGTCTCTCCATGCACCCCCCCCCCCCCCCCGTAGGTTTTCCAGGGCAGCCTTGTGGATCGGGACCACTTCCTTTATGATCCTGGTTCTTCCTGTTGTTTTTGAGACTGAGAAGTTGCAAATGGAGCAGCAGCAGCAGCTGCAGCAGCGGCAGGTGAGCCTGGGCTCTGGAGGCTTTTGCCAGTGGGAAACGCTTGTTTTTATTTGTCGGGCCCCTAGGTAGACTGGCAGGTAATGTGCAGCTGTGGGGCTTGGCGGTTGGGATCTGGCCCATCAGGCATGGTGAAGGTGCAGACTGAGAAGTTGGCATGTACAGTGCAGCAGCAGCTGCAGCCGCGGCAGATACTTCTAGGGCCTAACACGGGCATCTCAGGAGGAATGCCAGGGGCTCTACCTTCGCTTCCTGGAAAAATCTAGATTTATTGATAACATATGACCCGTCTTGGTGAGAGAAGTTCAGACTCAGTTGTTTGAACTGCTGATGATTTGTTTTTGTTTTTTTTGTTTTGTTTTGTTCTGTTTTTAACTTTGGCACATTGATCTAAACTTGGGAGAACTCTCCCTTTGTTGTTTCATGGAGAATCCCAACCTACAGCTGTGCCCTCCACGCTGCCCTCACTGTCCTCCTGTCCTTGCTGATACCAGAGTGCAGCTACGCAGACAGTTACTCCAGCTCTGACCACCCAACCCCTTTTAGTCAGCCACTCCTCTACCCCATGGTGGGGTAGAAACCGACACCAGTGGAAGGGATGGACCCTCCGACCCTTAATGACTGGCTTTGGTTATTTTTTTCTTTCCAAGAATGGCGGTGTTGGGAAGGGTTGAGCAACACAATAGGAAGCTGACACCATGTGGTACAGCTGGGACCCCTGTGTGCGTTGGAGAGGGAGGCTTGTTGCAGCTTCGGCCCCAAGACGGGGATGATTGGGGATATGGGGGACGGAGCAGGGGCTCATTTCCTCTACACATTTTGGCTATTAGACCTCTGTGTAAAAAGGTCAGTGCTCACTTTTTGTATTTAAAATTAAAAATTATTCAAACTCAGAGTGTTATCCATGTGCTTATGCCAAGTACCTCAAAGTTATGACTGTTTTAGAAGGTCAGAGACACAGTACCTTGAATTTCCTTACCTAGGCCAGTACCTCCATGTCCACTGATGCATTTATAGGCCCAAGTTAAATTGAGGTTTCCACAAATGAAAAATTTCATTATTATTTTATGCAGGGTCTTTCTATGCACCTTGGAATTGTAAAGATCCTCCTGTCTCAGCCTCCCTGGTGCTGGGATGACAGGCGTGTGCTAGCATGCCCAGTTTTGGTGGCCAGCTCAGCACTGGGCCGACACAGCATGTGGTACCTGGGATTGTTCTTGGGTCCTTGTGCTTGCCAGGCAGGTGCATAGACCATTGAGTTATCTCCTTGGTCCTGAAATTTCATTATTTGGCCATGACCTTTTTAATAGCAGTCTTTTTCCTGATTCAAGACAGCTTCAGATCCACCACCCTACAGCAGACCAGTTCTGTGTACCATAAGCCTTCAGTAACATCAGATCGTTATAAACTTTACACGCGGCGAACTTCTAACCCTAGGGTGTAAACTTGCAAATAGAACTTTTTGTGACCTAGTTTTAAAAAATACTGCTAAGGGCTGGTGAGATGGCTCAGTGGTCTAAAGCACCTACTTAGAACAAGCTTGGCAAAGCACAGAGACCACGGTTCAATCCCCCAGCACCACATGCCAGCCAGCCGGGCCCCCTGGTGGGCTGAACTGGCCACACACACACACACACACACACACAAATAAATAAATAAATAAAATTTTAAAAAATAAATACTGCTAAAAAAATAAATAAATAAAAAATACTGCTGGGGTAAGTGATAATGAAACCAGATTCAAACCTGTCTTTGAACTTTGCAGTTTTCCCATTTACCATAAATTTTTAATGAGCATCAAACATACTGTACATGTGGATTTATCAGAGTAATGTACAGTTTAGACAGTAGCATCCTTGGGGCTGAGGAGGTAACTCAGCGGTTTAAGCGCCTGCCTAGCAAGTGCAAGGACCTGGGTTTGATTCCTGGTTCTGCATGCTACGTGGGTCATGCGCCATTAGGCCACTGAAACTAGGTATAGCTAGGTATGGTGGCACATGCCTGTAAACCCAGTGCTGGGGAGGCTGAGACAGGGATCACAGAGTCTGAGCTGTGTAGCAAGACCTTGTACCAAATCTTTTTTTTTCTTTTTGTGGAACTGGGGATTGAACTCAGGCCCTTGCACTTGCCAGACAAGTGCTTATTCTACTGAGCCATCTCCCTGGCCCCACATAAATCTTAAAAAAAAAAAAAGGCATTCTTTTAACAGAGGAAATGTTCACAAAAAAGTTAAACTGTGTGCACAGAACGCTGTAATGAGAGCTGACCTTGGATTCAGCCTTTTTAAGTACTGACCCTGCTGTGTTTTGGGGATGCAGGTAGCCTGGGCCCAGGGCCTGGCCTTTCACCTTTTAAACTAAGGATGAACTCTGAGCCCCAGCCAGCAGGTATAAACATGTATCTACATCATGGCTTCAGTTTGCCAGGCCTGATTTTTAAAATTAAGGTAAACTACAAATACGTTGGGTGAGTATGGTGGCAGTGCTCAAGGGCTGGGCGAGAAGCCTTAAGAGCTCACTGCCACCCTGACTACCTAGTGAGACACTGTCTCAGAGGAAAAGAAACGGCTTTGGGCACTTTGCAAACGAGGTAAATATTTTGTTGGGATTTTTCAGGTGAGTTTAATTGAAGTTTAGTTTGAAGGTGACATGATGGTAGTGAATTCCTTTTAAAACAGCATCATTGGGGCTTGCGGGTTAAGCTCAGTTGTTTAAAGCACCTGCTTGGACAAATGGGTGCAGGGGACTGAGGCTCGGTCCCCAGCTCCACAAGCAGCACCACCACCTGCCCTTAAGGCAGCCTGAGCTAGCCAAAAAATAAAACAGCATCATACTATTTTTCAGTTACAGAATTCAGGCAGATTCATGTATGGAGTTTTCCATTTTAATATTTGGTTAAACAAAATACATCTTTTGTAAACAAACCCAGCACAAGGCCAACAACAACAGAGGAACAAAAGCAAGAAAAACAAAGCCTGGGGTTATCCCTTACTGGGCATCAGGGTCAGGCCTGCTCCCTTCCTTAAAGGAGTGGGCTTTCTGCCCTTGGGCATCAGCACGGGTCCCTGTTCCTAAGCACCAGAATCTGATATGAACAGAGAAACCAGCCCTGAAATGTTGAAGCATCTTTGCATATTCCATTGGCTCATGCACTCCACGTGCACGGGACACCTCTGAAGTGCCATTTGCACAGGCCCAACAGTTTGTGGAGGAGTTTCCACCTCCCAGGAAATGGCTTACTATCACTGACAGTGCCAATGGACCACAGTTCAGCTTGTGACAATCAGCACAGTTGGCTGTATTTCCTGGCTGGTGTGGTTGGAATGTCATTGTGCAGGGGTAGAGAGCTCCCTGTGGTGCCAAGCCGGTCTGGTGTAGAAAATGGTGCAGAAGAGACCACGGCCAGTTGCTAAGAGGGCATAATGCAGTCGCCGCTTGGGGCCTCTTGTTACTCGGCATATAAAAACAGCCTTGTTGAAGATACATGTGCAGAAAAAGTGCTGGTGTAAACATGCACTCCAGTCACAGTGGGGAGCAAACCTTGGCCTCCCCTCGTGAAGCTTGCTGAGGATTGACATGCGAGCCCCAGGCTGGCTCTGCTGCTGGACAAGTCTAGCCAGTGGGGCAGCCCTCATTGCTGCCCCGACCATGGATCTGGAGGGGGCTGGCCAGGTCCCCCTTGTCCACCCACCTGTCCTGAGACAACCACAGCCACTTTGGTGACATGTGGTATAACTTCTTTCCTCTCTTGTTTTCCAAAGGTACAGAAGAAACATGGCCTACGACTATTTCAAGAGGTAGGGGTGGGTAATCTGATGATTGTAAAGGAGACTATATGGAGATGACAAAACCAGGTCCTCTAACTGCACGGAACCACCCAACTTGGCTCTGCTTCTTGTCACCACAGTGACTCAGCCTTGGAGCCCAGGGCTTCTGCCAGTTCTATCTGCTCTTAAACTCTGAGAAGCAGATCTTTACATATTCTCTTTCCCCACCTGCTTCTGTCCCAAGCTAGTAGAATTTGCTACCAAGGGTAGACATTTTTTTCTGATTTTTCCAAAGTGGACAAAGTATGAAAACTGCCCACTTTCCTTGTTGTTTGTCCCAGAGCCTCCTAAATCAATGTAGTGAAATGGTAGGGACAAAATGAGTGAAGAAAAGCCACCCCATCCCTGCTCCGGTGTGGATTTCGCCACATCCTCTTAGCTATGTATCTTGCCCTTGTCTTGCTAGAAGATTGTGGGGTTCAGCCACCTGGCTTGGAATATTACAGGACTTTTCATCATGAAGCTCAAGGCTGGGCATAAACCTATAAAAGTGGGGTGGGCTAGCAGTAAGGGCTGCAGACGGCCCAGCACGTGGTACCGCTGCTGGGGTCGGGGAGATGATTTCCTGAGAGACACTTATGCTCTGTGTCCTTGGAGGCAGTCGCCGGGTTTTGCAGGTACTGTGTCTTTAGACCCACTGGTGCCACAGCAGAAGAAAGTGGGAGCAGCATCTCTAGGTAGCCTGGAGCAGTGACAGTGACTCCAGCAGAACCTGTGTCAGGGCCTCAGAGAGGGGGGCAAACAGCTGGGATCTACTTTGCCTTCTCTCTGGTGGAAGCAAGGCTTCTAGTAGCTGGCCCTCAGGGCTCAGCCCCTCCCTTTCTTCCCCAGGCATGGACAGCGGGTGGTTCTCCAGACAGTCCACACAACTGTCCTACTGCACTGGCAGATTTTAAGGGGAAACCCAATGAGATGTTTGGGGAAGTGTCCAGGGCAGGCCCACTGGAGAGGCCACAGCACACGGCAGAGGCCTGGAGGGTGGGGTAAGGGCCAGGTGGGGCACAACTGTGTTACACATCAGCCCTCCAGCTCTGATGGGCTTCCACCTCTTCTGGTACCACCAACAGGAGTTCACAGTTCTTTCCTCTCAAATGATGTTTAAGAAATTTCCTACAGAGAAAGGAATAGTGAAAGAAAATGATTCCAGCCTCAGGGCCACACATTTAGCAGAAACTTCATAATTTACTCTGGCAATCCTAAAACACTAGGGCACACTATTTGTGGCAGCTCCCCTCAATCTGTTCAGTTAGAATTCCAACCTGAATACTCCTCATGCTCATTTATTACTGCTGAATGGAGCTGGTTCTATGAAGAATAAAACAGAAAATAAAGGGCCTCTACTTGTCTAAAAAAAACTAAGAAAAACATCTTTAGTTCCAGTCTGGTTGAAATACTCATCTTCTTTTCTCTGAACATCAAAGAATTTATCCTGGCTGTCTCAGTGGAAAGAATGTTATAATCCCAGCTCCCAGAAGGCCAGGATTCCAGACTGTAGAACTTGCCTACCAAAGGGAAGAAAGTCCTGATTAAGGCCTTTCAGGCCATGGTGGTGCACACCTGTAACTCCAGCCTTTAGGAGGCTGAGGCAGAAGGATCATGGTGAATATGAGGCCAGGCTGGACTACATAATGAGTTCAAGCCTAGCCTAAACTACATAGTGAGATCTTGTCTCACTGCCCCCCTATAAATCTTTCAGGTCTGAGACCTTGTGATTCCAAGTTAGCCAGGGAAAAGATTCTAGTACATACGAATGTCAGTTCCTTTGTCAAATAACCAGAGAGAAGCCCAATTTCCCTAAAATACCAAACAAAGGGGCTGGTGAGATGGCTCAGTGGTCTAAAGCACCTACTTAGAACAAGCTTAGCAAAGTACAGGGACGGCAGTTCAATCCCCCAGCACCACATGCCAGCCAGGCCCGCCCCCTGGTGGGCTGAGCTGGCCCTGCGTGCGTACACACACACACAAACAAAAAATAAATAAATAAAAAAATACCAAACAAGGGAAGCTCAACAGCTTAGCCACAGTGGAGATTACCTGAGCTCGCTCTCGCCTCCAATCCATTCAGGCATCTTGAGTTTGGAGTCGAGGTTGTAATAGGCTCCCCCTACCTCTCGGACGCAGATCCAGTGTTGCCTTTTGAGAGGCAACTTGAGCGGTCCCCAGCACAGGCTGGAGGGCAGATTCATGATGAAGCCCATGACGTTGGTAAGAGCAATGACACCAACATCCCTGCAAAAGAGACATGGCCTCAAACTCTGAGGCCCTACACCTCCCCGGGGGGGGAGGTACTTGGCTTTACCCCCACAGGCGACCACCTCCCCATTCCCCATGACAGTCTCAAACTCAGGGCCTGTGCCATGACCTCCTAAGTATCCATCGAGTCAAGCCTGATTCTCATTACCTGCGCTTGTCCCACCAAACAGCTTCATAGCCTTTGGTCTGAAGTGCTGCCATAATGACATTCACATCGTAATTCCCATTTCCCAGCATGCTCTTCTTGTGTGGTGTCACCATAGTGTTTGGAGACAACCTATGATATGAAAAAAGGAGTGCTGAGACTTGCTGGTCTGACAAACCATCCCCACCCCCACCCCCACCCCCAGCCTACACCAAAAAAGCATTTATGTCACGGTGCTAGAAGCTCGTTTCTCCAGGTTTACCTAAGTGTGTTGGGCTCCTGCTTCCCTCTCTATGCAGAACAATTTGGGAGGGGCAGGACCTATCTCTCTGCCATTCAGAAAGTATTTCTACAGTGAAGTCAGTGAACCCAAAAAATGTTCCAAGTAGTCTCATTCACAAAACTCCAGTCTGCTGCAGCCTGGAGTCTACAGTCTTTCTATTACTGATCTTCCTGCCTTGCATTCTGCCTTGATGCCTTTTGTTAAACAGTGGAAAAAACTAAGTGATACTTGTACTTGCGTGCTTTGTAACTGGTTACTGCTGTTTCGGTTTTACAGTTTAAGTGCCTGCTATTTAAAGCTTGCACACTTGGTAATCATTAAATACTCAAAGGCATAAGAGGCCCGGACAGGTAACAAATGCATGAATCAGGGCACAGGGATATAGCTCAGCAGCACAGTGCCTGCCTAGTAAGTGTAAGGTGTGAGTTTGATTCCTGGTACCAAAAATAATAATTTTTAAAAAACCAATTTGGAGATATCCCAGGAGCAGCGGCGGTGCTGAGCGGGTGTGAGGTGGCTGTACTGCACTGTGGGCCGCAGCAGGGAGCTGCGAGATGGAGGTGACGGGGCTGACGGCCCCCACAGTGACTGTTTTCGTCAGCACTTCCCTCAGTAATTTCCGCAGTGAAAAGCGGTACAGTCGCAGCCTCACGATCGCCGAGTTAAAGTGTAAACTGGAGTTACTTGTGGGCAGCCCTGCTTCCTGCATGGAACTGGAACTATATGGTGCTGACAACAAGTTCTACTGCAAGTTGGAACAGGAGGATGCACTGCTGGGCTCCTACCCCCGTACATGATGGCTGCCGCATCCATGTCATTGACCACAGTGGTGCTCACCTTGGGGAATATGAAGATGTGTCCAGGGTGGAGAAATACCAGCTCTCACAAGAAGCCTATGACCAGAGGCAAGACACAGTTCGCTCCTTCCTGAAGCGCAGCAAGCTCGGCCGATACAATGAAGAGGAACGGGCGCAGCAAGAAGCCGAGGCTGCCCATCAACTCATTGAGGAGAAGGCCCTAGCCAGTACCATCCCTGTGGGCAGCCGCTCTGAGGTGCGGGCATCCAAGCAGTCCCCTCGCCGGGGCACCGTCATGTATGTAGGACTCACAGATTTCAAGCCTGGTTATTGGATTGGCGTCTGCTATGATGAACCATTAGGGAAAAACGATGGCAGTGTGAATGGGAAACGCTACTTCGAATGTCAGGCCAAGTACAGCGCCTTCGTCAAGCCATCAGTTGTGACAGTGGGAGACTTTCCTGAGGAGGACTACGGGCTGGACGAGATGTGACGCCCAAGGAAGGCTTCCCTGTTCCAGCTCCTAACTCAGCCGCTCATTGCCCCTCCCAGTGTGTGTACCCATGGCCATCTCCTCCTGACCCCATTTTAATTTTATTCATCTTTGCCCTGCCATTTATTTTATTTTATTTTATTTTAGACTCATACATTAAATGCATCAAAAACCTGGGGGGGGGAACTAATTTGGAGCCAAATGTAAAGCACTAAAAATTACTAAGGCCTTGTGTTAATCTGGAACACATGGTCCACCTGAAGGCATTCCAAATGTGTGTAGTACTTGGAAAAAAAAAAAATTAAAACACGAATCAATTGAAAACACCCGTGTGTGTGCACGTGCGTGTACCCATACATGCATGTGTATGAAACTCACAGCTAGGCAAGCGCTCTACACTGAACTATACCCCAGCCCTTTTTTGAGATAGGGACTTACTAAGTTGCCCAGGCTGGCCCAGCCTTCTGCCTTGGCCTGCTAAGTAGCTGAGATTACAGAATGTACCATGCCCAGCTGATTGAGAAAAATTTGTGCCAGATCAAAAAACCCCACAGCTACTATGCTGGCTAGCCCACTCAGCTTCCAACCAGTTTTTGCCAGAACTCTAGCAATCCCATTTCAAGACAATGCTAAAGCACATGCTTAGGTATGTTTAGGCAAGCTCAGGGACCTTAATCCTGGGAACCACATGGGGCACCAGCCCCACACCCCGGGGGGGGGGGGGTGCTGAGCTAGCCAGAGTCTGAGTGTAGTGGCAGAAGCCTGTAATCCCAGCAGTGGGGAGGCTGCAAGCAGGAAGATCACCATGAGTCCAAGCTGCATAGTGAGACCTTGCAAGAACCAAATACGTTTAAATCAATAAATAATTGATAATGCCTGTACTGAAGGCATTTCCAATTCCATTATTTTATTTTGTTTTCAGAGATCTGTCATGCCAGGAGCTGAAGAAAGGCCTCCTGAAGTTACACTTGGTATGCCTTTGACCTTTCTGTGAACGGGAGAAAGGAAAATGTGGCAAGTTCCTCAGGACAGAAGCAGAAGACAGGAGGCCACGATGTGCTATCTCCAGCAGGGAACTGAGACTTGAAGCACATTAACTCTAAAAACTTAACCATGCTTTTTATTTCTCCATAATGCATACTGATTTTGTTTTGTTTGTATTCTTTTCCTGTGCTGGAGATCAACCCAGGGCCTCTGCACATGCTACACTGAGCTACATTCCTACCCTATACTGGTATTTTTCAAACATAATGTACAGAAAACATACTCCTGCTGCTGCTTAAAACTCTCCAATCACACACAAAGAATTTAATTACAATCTAACCATGCATGGTGGTGGATGCCTATAATCCCAGCACTCAGGAGGCTGAAGTAGAAACATGGCAGGTTCAAGGCCAGCCTGTACTATGCAGTGAGATCAAAGGCCTGTCTATAGTACCTAGTGTGACCCTGACTCAGAAAGTAAAATAAATATATAGATAGATACATACACATATATACACAATCTAAACGCCTTCATCTGCTGCCTCTGCTCTTTCCTCTTACCATGGCCTTTTTCCTGTTCCTGGAATACATACACCTCCCCACTCACTAGGGCCTTGCTAACTGTTCCTGCTCGCCACTGTCTAGAAATGTTCCTCCCTTAGAGTTTTGGGTCTCAAGTGTTACTGCCCTTAAAAAAACAAAAAACAAAAAACAAAACAAGGCGCCAGGGAGATGGCTCAATAGAATAAGTGCCTGCCTGGCAAGTGCAAGGGCCTGAGTTCAATCTCCGGTTCCGCAGGAAAAAAAAAAAAAACTTTTTCTGACTGTCCCGCAATAGTTGATCCCAGTTGCTTCCTGTTCTGCTTCTTTACTGCTTATCTGCTTTGGTTTAATTACAGCCCTTCGTCACACCACACACTCTTCCTCCTGTGCCTGGTTTGCCACACCACAGTGACACCTGGGACCCTGACTATTCAGTTACTATGTATCATCTGCTAGGATCTAATGACTGCAGGCAAACACCAAGTGTTCAAAGAATGTTTCTTGAAATTTTTTATTTTTGTTATTCTATCTCTTACTACATATTAGTAGTAGACTCAAATTTGTGGTGATCTTTGTTTCTCAGTCTCCTGAGTATTGGAATTACAGACACACATGGCTCTTAGAAATAAAAAGGTTCACCTGTTCATGTGAGAGCTAGTGAAAGCAGGGGAGTCAGAAGACACTAAACCCTACCCTACAACTAAATTTTACTTTACCTGTAATATCTCCTGATTACTGAAAAACTGTGCTAAAAAAGTGCTATACAAGTTATTTAATATGTCTCATTAGCTCCTCTAACCCTATAATCATATAAATTATTTCTGTTTTATAAATCTGAAACCTAAACTGGGCATGTGATACAATCCTGTAATCTCAGCACTTGGGAGGCTGATGCAGGAGGATCATTGTGAGTTCGAGACCATTATGGGCTACAAAGTGAGCTGAAGGCTGGCCAGCCTGAACTGCACAGTGAGACCCTGTCTCAAAAAGACAAAAAAAAAAAAAAAGCAAGCTAAGATTTGGTGATTGTATCTGACTTGTCCATGAGCACATACAAGGACAGCAGTAGGACTCAAACTTAGGTTTATCGGAAGCTCAAGTTATGCTTGCTGTCCTACACAGAGACCAGTTGGAGTGGGAGGTGCTAGCAGGTTGCTAATAGGAAATTAGCAAATCCCTAAGGCTGAGGCTAAAACAGCTTAACAGGACACAAGCTCTTATTGGTGTCCTAAAACAGTCCTGAAAAAAAAACCTCAGAAAAAGAAGGCAGGGCTGGGGATACAGCTCAACAGCATAAGTGCCTGTCTGGCAAGCACAAGGTCCTCCTGAGTTTGATCTCTGGAGGGCTGGAGAGATGGCTCAGTGGAGTAAGTGCTTCCCCCAATCCCCAGTTCCACAAAAAAAAAAAAAAAAAAGTTTGATCTCTGGTACCATTAAAAAAAGAAGGCTTGAGATCGCGCAGGTTCCTTTCCCCCAGTTCCAGTCACCTCTAATTCCTCTCCAGATGTCCCTGACCAGTATAAGGAAGAAGATCTCAATACAGACAGCACTGAGTCTTCTGTCTCTCACCACCAACCTCCCTGGAGGAGCACACCTCAGAGCAGAGCTGCCACCTTCCCAGTGATCCTAGCTCCTGGCTTAGTACCACAGAAACCAGAGACACCCAGTATTCCAATACTATAGCAACTGAATGAACCAAGAAAGCAAAAAGGTTTCCTGCAGGAAATCAGAGAATCCCTACTCTGCTAATCCTCACCTGTGTCTCCAGGAAAGGGGGTTACATAGTGTGCTTCAGTTTCCAAACATTTTTTTTTTAGTTCCCAAACACTTTTAACCATCGAAACATTTCTTCTGAAATTCACCTGCCGGGACTGGGGTTCCAAGGATCTTTCTTCTTTGGCTTTCATCTTCCATCTCAGACTGAAATCCTTCCCTGTCTACTCCCACTACCTCTGCCCTACCTGGAGGCCTCTCTAGCCCCATGCCTAGACTTCTGAAACAGGTTCTTCAACTGATCTTGCTTCCAAACTCT